TTTTAAAAAAAAAAAAAGAATTTACACATTATTTCTTTTCGGTCAAATATTTCAATATTTTCTTTGCCCTACAAACTAATTTAGAGGACAATATACGGGAAAATTTCTTCTAGCCCATATAAAATGGGACTAATTAAGTTCATCCCTAAAATCGTGAAAATCAATGAAATAATTTAGAAAAATTGTAAAAAAAAAGAGATAAAATCATGTAAATGTACGACTGACAGAATAGTCTCATAAATTACACACGGTTGTAATTTCCGATTCGTGTAGTTGTTATCAAGACCGATTATATCCGCATTTGTACATATATATTTATAAATTTATAATTAATTAGATAATCTTAGACTTTATTAGAATTAAATACACAGAGTATCATCACATACAAAGATAATTAATAAAATCAAACTAAAAAGTATATTTCTTAATATTCTTTTTAAATAACAAGAACTCACAAACTAGAGAACAATAGATTAGTGGTCTCGTGTTCGAGCCCTGACAATGCAGCAGTGTTAAAACTCTTGAGGGAGAGCTTTGTCGCCCTTGTAGTCCTACCCGGCTCGATTCTAGATTAGTCGGTTCCCATGTGGATCTGGAAACCGGAAGGTCCCTCTACCAAAAAAGAGAACAATAGATCATCTATAAAGTAATCAGGAAGAAAATTAAGAAAATCAAAAACAAATACACCATGCAGCTTTGTTATTATTAGTTGCAGTCACTTGAACAACTTCTATTTTAATAATAATTAGTACTGATAATAAAATAAAAATTAAGAATTTTCACATTAATTTATTTGAGAAAATTTTAAGTTGTTTATGCTCTATGTTTCTCATATGATGTAAATGCACAAAATTAAACAATGTAATAAAGACTAATATTAGTATTTTAAATAATAAAATATTAATATATCAAAAAAAAGCTCCCCTATGAATTGGAAGCCCTAGGCTTGTGGCTTGGGCAACTTGCCCAAGAGCTGGCCCTGGCTGTCATACAAATATGCAAGTCATCGACGAACAATACTACAGATTGGAAACTTTCAAGAATGAAGAATCGGATGAACACAATAGGAATACAAACTTGTATGCAAAAAGAGCTTTTAGATTTCAAAGTAGTTGGTGATATAACATTCATCGAGTATTTTTAACTATGTATCATCAGGAGTTTTATATGTTCAAAGGCACCATTCGAAAATGCACGGTGCAAAAATTAAAGGCAACTAGAACTAAGTTGCGAACCTTTCGGAACTAGCAGATTTGCTTATGTTGCAGGCTCGTCACGCTCGTGACAGGCTTTCACGCTGGACAAAACTGATAGTTTCGATAGGAACTGCCAGGAACCAGCGTCGCGATTCCGTTGAATCGTCACTAATTTCGTAACATACTCAATGTCTATATGACTGAACTTGTCCGGTTTTTATTTTAATAAACTTTTTTTTTATCTAGTTAAACTTATTTTTGAATAATAAAAACCTAATTTTTATCATGTATCAACTTTTTAAATTAATTATCGTTCAATTTAAAATGAATTTGAGATATTTTCTAATAAGTATCCCATTTAAAATAGAAATAGAACTATAAATTTCCATACAAATAAAATGAGGTAACTTGCGCACTGATATTTTACGAACATATTTTTGAATTATTTGCCTCATGAATTAGAAACTTACATCGATAAAATAACAAATAGATTCTCACTAAAATTTAAATGCAACATACACCAAGAAAATATAAAAGTTCAAATATTTATTTCTAGAGTATTGTATATTATTTTAGGAAATAAAAATATTGCAACTAATATTCTATGTAACTGATTTATATTAATCATCAATCAGTTGTTCTTACTTTTTTTTACTTTTTTTTTTTAATGTAATGTGTTATTATCGACTTATATAATTTTAATTACTAATCATTTACATCATTATTTTATTATTTAATTTCATATCAAACTAATAATTACAATTTACAAGTTATTTCTGTACATTTATAAATTAAAAATAACGCGTCCTTCCATCATGTTTTTTTATTTTTATTTTAGTAATTAAAATAATTTGTAGTCCATATCACCCTGAATTATTTTTACTTTCCCCATAAGAAACTGAACTCATTTAATTATTTTTTTTTTTCGGTACAGAAAAAGAGGCCGGAGGCCTAAAGCTATTATTTATCCTCTTTTAACCAAACTTTGGAGCGTGCTCCTCTTTTTAGCTGTGACCTGTGAGTGCACTTACAGAATTCAATTGTCTATTTGTGCATGTATCTTTATGCAGATTTTAATTTATTTGATGGAAACAAATATTTATATTTATAAAAAATATATGTTTTTTATTTGATTGTGAATAGACGTGGTCAAATCACGGGCCGAGTCGGGTCGGTGGGTCACAATTTAATGGCCCATAACTGGGCTGTCAATTTTTATGGATTTCAATGAACCGTCCATGAATCGCTGGGTCACTAACCCGCCGGTTTCCTGTATGCTCTGGGCCCGTTCGGCCCATTAAAAAAAAAAATTCACACAATACCGTCACTCGTCTTCTAACTTGCGGCACTGCCCAGAAAAATAAAGAACTGGAACTGACCCGCATGATAACAGTTCCGGCTCACAGAACCGCCAAAATTCAGGCCAACTCGGGACCGGTTCGGTGCTGGGTGGGCCCTTGGCCACCTCTAATTGTGAACCTCAACTTACTGCATCCTATAGGTCTTTCATATCCCTTAATTGAGCACACTTTATTCTAGAAGCCTTTTGACTTGTGCATGCATAATTTCACATATCTATATATATACATAATTGCTAACATATAACATTTAATAAAACCTCTAAAATTTTCCCTCCATTTTCGGTTACAAAATTTACCATTAATATTTTTTTACTTCTCACATTAATGCATCATATTAAGTGTAGTCATGTATTTTTTCTATTATATTACATAATAATTATTGTTAATACCAACTAATAATAATTCACATTAAATATAAATTACATAATTATAAACAATTATTTCAAGTTATTTATAATAACATCAATATTATCTTTTTCTTTCGTATCTCATGAAAAAATTTCTTTAAATACAATTACTAAAATTTTTTAATAACATAGTCAAACAACTTTAGAATATTATATATAATAATAATAATAATAATAATAATAATAATCAAACTGTTATCTAATGATAATAAACAATTGCTCATAATAATAAAACCATTAATGAAAATGTAGTATGTTCATTATCTAGAATTTTAATATTAAATTCTCAAATATTACTTATAATATTTTATGTACATCTGTGCATGTGCACAAGATATCTACTAGTATCGGATAAAATTAAAAGAGAAAACTAGTAATTTATGCCGTCAGCTTATATAATAATAATAATAATAATAATAATAATAATAATAATAATAATAATATTGTTATCTAATGATAATAAACAATTGCTCATAATAATAAAATCATTAATGAAAATGTAATATGTTCATTATCTAGAATTTTAATATGAAATTCTCAAATATTACTTACTAAGATTTTATGTACATCTATGCATGTGCACAGGATATCTACTAGTATCGAATAATATTAAAAGAGAAAACTAGTAATTTATGCCGTCGTCAGCTTCAATACACTAAAATCTCCCAAATATTATGACGTTGGGCCAACGTACCTTTTTGCTTCCACAAAAATACAAAGTGCAACTTGCAGGATTGCAACAATTATTTATGTGAAACTCCACTTTAGTGGTTGACACATTAAAAAATGTATACTTTTATTCCTCTAGATGATTAAAAATAATGTATACTTTAATTCTAGATGATTTGATGAGCTCATAAATGTCACTTAATTACACATAGAACTGTTAAAGTAAACGAGGCGCTCGTGAGTCGGCTCGACTCGTTTAGTCAATGAGACGAGTTTGGGTTCATTTAAAACTCATTTAGTTAACGAGTCGAGCTATAGTTCTGCTCGATTGTGACTCGTTAAGCCTCAAGCTCGACTCGTTAATCTTGATTAATGAATTTAACTCAAGCTCGATTATAAGCTCGTTATTTTAATAGTGAGGGACTTAACTTTTTTTTTTTTCAAATAAAATACATCTTGTCAAGAATTAATTAGGTATGATATTGTAGGCAGTAACTATATATAACACACTTTTTTACCAAAATAATAATAAAATAAAATAACTTGCCTCAAATGCTCGATCCGATCGGGAAGAACACTTTAGATGAAAGTTGATCCAAGGGCTCACATTGCTCTTCAATGTCGTCACTAGCCCAACATGTTTATGTAGGTTTGGTTAATGTGATTACTCAACTAATCTTTAGAAAAAATGGCAATTGTGCAATTTATTTTATTTTATATATATTTTTTTTATTTTGTTTTATGAAGTCTCATTTGAGATTTTTCAAGATTCTGGTCTTGCAAAGTTGCTAAAAATTTATCTCTTTCCTTTTATTTTTTTATTTTTTTTTTTTATTTTTTTTT